GTAGTATGCAATGGAGAGTATGCAGTAGTATGCAATGGAGAGTATGCAGTAGTATACAATGGAGAGTATACCGTAGTATACAATGGAGAGTATACAGTAGTATACAATGGAGAGAAAGTTTTGAAAAGGTATAGAGCATATGAATCATCAGCATATTTAAGAGGTGATTGTCCTTACTTGAAATCAAGAAATATGAAATATCCACAAAAAGGAAGATGAGTAATATTATTAATAGGGTTTAGAGAAATGGGTGCTTTTATATTCTGTCAATAAAGGGGTATGGTTGATATTACTATAGAGCAGTTTGGAAGCATAAATCAACAGGCTTAATTTTTTTCATATCCTTTAGATAGTAATTCCATGTTTTATTCATTCAGTAATATTTGTTGAATACTGATAGTATTCCAGGCAGCTGTAAAAGTGCTTAGACTATTGCAGTGAACAGACGGGAAGATAGAAAAGAAACCAATAACGTAGCATAACAAGATGTTAAATGACATTCTTCCTCGACTCAGTCTTATATGAAGCAGTAGCAGTATAGATATCAGATACTAAAATGAGAGTAAGAAAGACCTTTCACATAGTATATATTGAATTTGCAGAGGAGACTTCGAAGGAGCTGATTCTGTGAATTTTCCACCCTTCTGCTAGGTCATGGATATACAAAAGGGCTAACCAGTAGAGAGGGAATTAGATTTTGCATAAATAATCTCTTTAGGAAGAGCTGTAGCTTTGATTTTTGAATTGCCCATGTAAAAGGTGGAAAGGAAGAACCGTTGCATTGGCTTTATTGCAGTTCTATTGAGAGGCTAACATTCCATGAACTGAGAGATTGAAGTGTTTTATGCAATTATGAGAGAGGAGGAAACAATGTTGAGTTCAGAGTACATAGCAGTAACTTGTCATGGACATACTAATGACTTATTTGAGATGGTTTATCATTTAAGCAAGCAGAAAAGCCATGGAACTAGAAACTATGCAAATTTTGATTCAGGATCAGCTGAAGAGTATACTCGTTGAAGTACATTTAAAAGCTGAATTTTAATCACATTCCATTGGTGGTGAATTTTAGAACAGTGGTTACACGTGTTCAGTGAAGATAAGTAGAACTATAAAACAAAAGTAGATAGGGCAAGGGAGGTGACATGGAAGTGACATTTGAGCATTGACCTGAAGGAAATGAAGGATTAGGCCATGAGTGCTTCTGTCTGGGAGAAAAGTTTATAGATCAGGGGGTCCAACCTGTGGCGGACAGAGCTGTATGCTGATTTCGTGAGGACTTTTTTTTGTTTATCTGTGGTGTCAGATATCGCGAAAAGTATTGCCCGGTCAGTTTTTGTTAGTGTTTGTGTATTTAATGTATGGCCCAAGATAACTCTTACTGAAAGACAGAAAAGAAAAAAGGTTAAACAGAAGAACTTTGTGCATAGACCCTGAGGTAAGAATGTGCTTAAGGCCATGCCTGGTGGTGCAGGAGGGAGTCGGGGAGGATCGCTTGAGGGCAGGACTTTGAGACCAGCCTGAGCAACATAATGATACCCCCGTCTCTACAAAACAAGCAAACAATATTATTTTTAAGAAAGAGCGTGCCAACAATAAAAAAAAAAAGAAAAGAAAAGAAAAGAGAGAGTGCCTAACTTGTGGCTAGAGTGAACAAGGTGAGGTATGATAGGACATACAGTTCAGAGTTAGGAATCAGTTTATAGGTCATTGTGTGAGGCCCTTCCCTTTCATTGTGAATGAGTTGGGAAGCTAGTAGGGGTTTTGAGCAGAGGGGGTATTGAGATCTGATTTGTTTTAGAAGGATTGCTGTAGCCACTGTTTTGAGCAAAGGCTGTAGGGTAAAAAAGTATTACAATCATATATACCTGGTGCTCTTAATGTTATGTGCTGCTGAAGTGAGCACAGAAACCAGGCACTTTTAATAATTAGTTTTAAGGATATTCTTGGCTCAGCACCTGTGGCTCAAATGGCTAAGGCGCCAGTCACATACATCTAAGGTGGTGGGTTCGAATCCAGCCCGGCCTGCCAAAACAACAATGATGGCTGCAACCAAAAAATACAGCCAGCCATTGTGGCGGGCACCTGTGGTCCCAGCTACTTGGGAGGCGGAGACAGGAAACTCCCTTGAGCCCAGGAGTTGGAGGTTGCTGTGAGCTGTGATGTCACAGCACTCTACCCAGGGGAACAGCTTGAGGCTCTGTCTCAAAAAAAAAAAAAAGGATATTCTTAGGATTAACCATATGTACAAAAATATGAGTACATGAATGCTCATTGGA